AMCCYKKTTTTTTTTCGTATTGCGTTTCTTTCCCTATAGYAGGKAGAACAATACAAAAAARCTACGGAAACGYTAGATCTCGTCCACATTGATACGYTTTCGTATCATTTCTGTATTAGTTTGCATTGGCCTCGAGGACAAAGARCATTGCAACAACGCTACGAAAAATCATGTTATTTCTAAAAGGCGTTATTTGCACTATAATATATCACCATTCGTGCAAATTTAGTGAGATCCCAGAATTCCTATCGGTCTCAMATTGGCGGTCTATGCTGAAATGAGAGACCTCCAGCCGTTATCTCCAAAAGTGTCCATTGAATAATTATAATAACCTAATCTAATATTTTCTGTCTTCGTGAGGGCCACTCCCATCCATCGTGTTATTTTATTTCTTATCATATAACCAATCGTTTTATGTGACTAGAGATTCGTTTAAAGATAACCGATGCACGCTATTGAATTTTAAACAACAACAATGATACTGACTGTGAATTATGAGAGTTAAATCCGTGAAACAAAATAAGCCGTGAAACAAAATAAGCCGTGAAACAAAATTCAATATTTCAGAGGTTATAGGAAAATAGACAGCTTCAAAGCTGACTATSWGAAACTGTACTGCGATGCGGTTAAATATCGATTTCCGATTGACTCTATCAAACTTTAAGCTATACCAAAAATCATTTAATAAAGAGATGAACTTAATCTAAGAGAATATTTCTAAAAATCCACGATATATTACAAACAGTGAATATTTTAGTTGATCGGATTGTCCGTTTGTTTTTTAAGATTAAATCTGTTTGCCTCAGGGAAACAAAGCCTGTTCTTGTGTCTATTTTTGTCGCAGAATCTTACGTACATCTCGTTGACGGGCGAACTCCAAGACGTATTATTAACTACTGTTCCATCATGAGATAGCATGATCTAGTCTGCAACAACATTTTTGTCTGTTCGGAGCATTTGAAATTGTCTAAATTGACGACGATTGTGGCATGTGTTCCTTAATTTGTGAAAACTCCTACAGCTCGAGGCGGTTTTGTCGTAATCTACATCTTGAAGATGAAAATCTAAATTTATTATTTTTGTTATTTCTTTGCGAATGACAAATATAAAGACCAGGTCACTATAACTGTTGAACAAACGATTTTTGTTCTGGAGGTGCAATGAGAATAAGCCAAATTTTTCTGTAAGGACGTCGTCAGGTTACGGGAGGCTATCGCAAGAGTCACCTCGGAGACAACCATTCATAAAGACGTTATCATGTTTAAAAGAACATTTAATTCGCATGTAATTCTTGTTTGGCATGTGCTTGAAGTGTGGCCTTTGCGGACACCCCGCTATCGCGGACAGTGAAAAATACAAAACTTTAATGGGTACGCCCTCTTCACTAGTTCACTACGCCATCTTGACGTAACCATGCGTAAGCGCTAAGTTTCCGTGCATTATATAACATCGAAGCGAGGACATAGCCATGCGTAAACGTTATGTTTCCGTGCATTATATAACATCGAAGCGAGGACGTAGCCATACGTAAACGCTATGTTTCCGTGCATTATTTTACATCGAAGCAAGGACTTAGCCTTGCGTAAACGCTATGTTTCCGTGCATTATATAACGTCGAAGCGAGGACGTAGCCGTTCGTAAACGCTACGTTTCGGTGCATTATATAACGTCGAAGCGAGGACGTAGCCGTTCGTAAACGCTACATTTCGGTGCATTATATAACGTCGAAGCGAGGACGTAGCCTTGCGTAAACGCTATGTTTCCGTGCATAATATAACGTCGAAGCCAGAAGTAGTATAGTTRTGTATATATTTTCAGCGACAATCGTTCCGTGTTAATCGACCTTAAAACATAATATGTACTTTACATAGCAAGCTCTAGTCGGCCTGATTTTCACCTGGGGCATGGGTTCTACATTTCACACCGCTCACCAGTAGGACTGAATCAAAGCTAGGACCCAGGTCACGGTTGAAAATCTGGGAGAGCTCGGATTGATCAGATCACGTGTTTCAAAGTTGTGTGCATATTGTGCGTGCTCTTCTATAGAAAATAGGAAATCTCCAGCTCTATGAATCCTGGAATCATTTTGACGGTTTCTTGCTTCTTTTCAAATGCGATTTATTATGAAATTGAAGTTTGATACTTAATAAAGTGGGTAGATTTTTCAAATCAAACACTTATATCTTAATGAGCACTGTATGAGAGATCCTCGAGCTACTTTCTCGTAATCCACGCGTTACCTTTACCGTTACAAACTATATAGCGTGTTTGCGTGTTTGTGTACGCGTGTAAATATCTGATTGAAGTTAATAGAGTCGTTTAACGCCCTTCATTTCCTTATCAGCCTAGGCGTATGTGACCTGACACTACTCAATGAGAATCGCATTTGCTGGCCAGTTCAACCTGGCCGACATACTCTCTTCAACTGGACCATTAGCCTACGAACGGGCTCTCTGAGGGGAGAGGGGACGGGGCACAAGAAAAAAGAATCTCCTTTTTCCTCTTTCGATTTTCTCCTTCCCCCTCCAGTTGCTGCTCTGGCTAATGGACTCGTATATCAACTCTTCTGTTGAATCAACAGTTTTCGCAAARTATTTGAGCTCTTAATGCAGACTGATTGGCGTCAATATATTTACTTTATTCAGTCTTTCAATTGTCATTTGAATTGCTTTCTCTCACTATTCTAATGTCCAGTAAAATTCGTTTCATTTTTGAAAAAAAAAAAAAAGAAAATAGCACCAGTTTATCCACGTACGTCACAGAAGCATTCCAGCATGAATGTCCAATGATCTGACCCATGAACAAAAACACCACGAGCTAACAGATCCAAATCTTTTAACCAAACAAACCACGTCATCCACTGATTCAATAAGATAGCTCGTTATTTTTATAAGGAATATTTTGACTTAGACACAGATCAAGAGATTTATTTGCTTCTTTCGAGGACACTAATTGAATTCCAAGACACATCCTTGAATGTACTATATTTTACGTAAGCTATACTACGTGACGCAATGCAGACGAAGTTATTACTGCGTTTTTAATATGGATTTTTTAATTTAATGCCATAAGCACCTTAACGTTAAACGCGGTGTACAGACATCCATTGTGTTGTACTCGAATGTTCCTAACTATAGGCGTAATTAGAGTCGGTCAAACCACCGTTGAATCGATCTTGTCTGGTCGACTAGCATAAAACCTTTTACAAATAGGACTATGGTCGGACTATGGTCGCTTTTTGGGGGTTATTCTTTGTATTGAGGAGCAATCATAGCTCCTCCTTAGACGGACAACATTTTGTCTAATAAGGTTTTAATATTTATTTTCAATGTGGATGGAGCTTTTACCTTTTTCGGTTTATCGACAGAAACAATCAAATTCAAAACCTAACACACACAAAAGTCAATAAAATGTATACTAGTTTTCCCCTCTTGATACTTTCATTCCTAATTATAACCCTGATAAGTCGGCCGGTCGATTTTGATATGATTTTCCGGTATTCAGACGAGCCAACAAGTATGTCATGCAAGAGGTGACACCTCTATTGACACACGGTCTTATTCACCGTCCCATCATGAAAGTGAGCAGTTACTTGAGCCCATGTGTGGCGCATAGTTCTCTCGATCAATGTTTTTATGTCTCTCTATCCCTYTTATTGTAGAAACTACTGGACTCGACTTGTGACGCTGGACAACACCCTGGTGAAGACGTTTTATCCCTCTGACTAAAAAACTGGTGAACAGTTTGACTTGATTGGTGAGTCCAGTTAAACAATTACATACTGATATTAAGAATGTCTGAGGACTATTATGTAGTTAAGGTAATCTCTAGCGAAGTCTCTAGTGAAGCATAGTTGAATATATATTATATATTATGTAGTTAACAGAATCATTGTCCACAAATTTGACTAATAAGCGCGAGTATTGTCCATCAAATGACCGATTCTGTAAACGCTTTGACCTCGTTTATGTACWTCGTGTGGTTCTTTGTCAACAGAGAATATAAGAAAATTCTTGGTACATTTCTAGAATAATAGATGTTATATGATAATGCATTAAGGCAAATAACATGAAATAATCCTTGTACTGCCTTTAGCATTTGAGGCCTTCTTATAATCCGACGTCATTTGTGAAGTTTTAATCTGCTCAGCTTTAAGAGGTTTCGTCTGTAATACTCAATGAAGTATCTTTCGGTGATATTTGTAGTTCTTTGGGTTATAATTTATAATAATGATGGTCTAGTCCTTTATTTCGAACAGTTTTGGTAAGTTTTAAGTCGCTCGTGGGTTTCTGAATTGAATGCTATCCGAAAAGTTTCTATTTACCAAAAAAAAAAAATCGCCATGAAAAATTTCTCGGTAATAATGTCTCGGTAATAACGACTTTGTAATAATAATAACCTTTATTTAAGCACGGTTAATAATTACGCAGAACTCTACGTACTTGGGGTTAATTTTATCTAATGTTAACTTTGGTCAGTAGCCAGTTCAGCGAGAGCTTATCTTCCACTAGGTCATCCTACTTCTTATACACGGCACTGAATGTTTGCACACAACACTCGCTTCCCTTGAACCGTCCCCTTGTTGTTTTACTTTGAAATTCTTATTAACTGAYTCCAGATATCGCAGGATTGCTGGAATCCTTTTTCGCGAGTAGTTATCAGTGCAGAAATTAAAGCATTCCACATGGACATTTCCGCTTTTAAACGATTATGTACTGAAACAATACCTTATTCATAAGCGCTTTGCTTTGAAGTCGYCTTATTGGTCAAAAATATTTCCCACTCGCTATTTTTTCTAGAAAGGTTTACGCCCTACGAAGTCGTTAATCACCTCGCAAAACGTTGTGTGGCACGCAACAGAAACGCTAGACCTAATAATCATCCTAATAAAACCATTTCATTACTCCTTCAGTTTTTCATCGGATAAACATGAGTCCTTTCTTTCGAATGCAGCCAACACTTGTGATTGCTCTTTAATCAGGCAGCCCATCTTTAACTCACTTGTTTTCATCAAGTCTTATCTTAGAGATTTCTTGGCTCTTAAAAGGGGGCTAATTGTGGAAGCATTCTTGTTTATTATTATAGCACTTGAGTATAGAATGTTATGTCGTTTTGAATTCTTCCATATGATCGGCTTTCAAATTCTCTTCACTGGGGACATTGTAAGATTATATGAAAAAAATAACTTCTAGTTAAAAAAAATCTTGATTTCCATTTATATAAGCTAAATTCCTTTCCTTGCTAGTAATATATTATCGAACTGATTTAAGCTAAGATTTCTCTCGGCGGACCTTTGTAATTGAAGGCCACTAGAGGAATAAAGGAAAGATTTATTATAGMTTTGTTATCTGAAAACGCTTTTCATATTTTTGGTATTTTCGTGTACGTAGACTTCACTTATTAGTCATAAYCATTCGTCTTTGCGTTGCATTCTTTTGTTATTTATTTCAAAAATGATGTATACAGCTTTTTCTAAAAAGATTGTCAGAATATACAACGAAAGGTGTATTTTGGATATCGATTTTTGCTGGGAAGTATTCGCACATCGCATTACACTGGAAATGTTGATTAGWTTCCAAATTTGGAAATAATATGTAAATATACTGTAAATTCAATTTACAGACAATAGGTCATTTTACAAGATTTGTAAATTTTATGTACATTCTGTATATATCTTGTAAATTTTTCTCGAACAAACATTGTAAATATCATATTGGAAAATCAATTTACAATGTTTGTTAAAAGGACATTTCGTCTGAAAATCGAACAATTTACAGACTAAATTGATTAACTTTTCCAGTGTTAAGTTGATATTATTTTCGTCCGATGGAGACTTCRGACGGATTTTTTATTAATTGTCATCGAATGTTTATCTATTTTCCATACTCAAACTCTTAAAAGTAGCTCATGTGTTCCAACTCATTCTCAATGACACAATCAGATACCATTTTTACTAATCAAAGCAACTATCTGCAAGACAAACCAATTATCGTAACTAAATTTTTAATTAATCTAATTAACAATAGGGCCGCCATCTTGAATGGGACCTTATCAACAATGCCGTCGCCATCTTGAATTACGAAAAGATTATGGGATGTCCAAAAAGCACACATTCTTATATAAAATGGTGGGGAAAAAATTTTCCTGACCTAAACGAKTCTTGCTTCAAAGTTTGAGATAAACCCTCAGAAAATCCAAATTCATTGATTTTGACTTTTTTTTTTGTTACTGTTTTTCGAAAATATGGAGGTGTTTTTCAGATTTTATGATAATTTATACATGATGCTCAATTTAATAACATTCTGAGAGTCGCAAAACATAATTTTTGGGGGTCATCCAATGCATGAGATAGCAATAGAATACTCCGATTACGAGTTCTGGTTTGCTCTGTGTTAGCTTCAAAACCAAGCAACATATTCTTTAGTCTTATTGATAGCTCGAGAAAACGCATGAAATTGAAAAGAAAGACAATRGAATTTATTTGAAATCTCACACTTTTATTCAGCACAATTAGGAATATTTTGCACACAAATAGGGCTAACACAGAGTATTGGAGAATTCGAAACTGGAGTATTCAAAATGGCAGCCATGTTGCTGATAAGCTCGTGGCGATCAACTTTCTTTTGTGTTAAGCTTTCGTAGCTTCCAGTTGGACCATGACCAACATTTAATCATGACCAGCAGGGGTTTGGGTGGAGAAGTTCTTGAWCACTGGAACTTGTGCTGGCAAAACATTTGCTTCCCGCCAAGGATCAAACAGCAAACAGAAATTGTTTAACTTCACATATCAAACTTTGTTATTTCATTTGGTTGTAATTCGCAGCATGAGCTGTTGTTTGGGTTTGTGGTGCAATTTTRGTAAGTTGAAAAAAACGTCTTCGAAATCGCTGCCGAAAATTGAAAGTATTTTGACATGAGAAAGGTTCCTACATCCTCCAGCTAATCTAGGATAAGTAGCTCTTGTAGATCTCGTATTCCCAGCCATAACAATTTCATCTCTCATGTCGATACCTGRCAGTGTTTTGATTTAATTTTGCGTTGGAGTTCTCATACATTTTCCATTTTCAATTCTGAACAAAAGTAACGCGTTGGTCATTTTTCTTTTTCTTWGTTATCTTTCAACTAAAAGTCCCAACATTGGCGCTGTTCCAATAGCGCCAGGAAAGTGTTGATATTAATTGAATTCCTTTCTGACCATAAAAATGTAACCTYAGCTTTTATATGATCTCGATCAGTATTTTTTTTTAACGTTGAATATTTCCCACACTGCGTCCTGCTGTTTCAGTACCGACAAGTAACATTAGTGATTGCAATATACTCCCTCTACCAGCCATAACACTCATTTAACCMTGTTTGGCTTGTTCCGTGTTTTTTAACCTTTTTTCCATGTGGCATGTACTCGCATCAGTAAGGGAAAGTTGTCATTTAAGGGGGGAATGGCAATGGTCATTTAGGGGGGGAGTAAGTAGAACGTTAAGTGTAAGTATTTATTCTTTTGGGTTGTTTTCCATTAGATAATTTAAAAATTAAATAGTGCTAAATTGTAGTCAATTATGTGAATGCCTTTGTAGAAAGATCGCACTTAATMCGCGCAACTGTACAAACTAAATAGTGCTTTTTAGTTTTATTTAGTAAATCGTGCATGCGGTACGCAAATTAAATTGAATTGATACAAATGGAGCATTCAATACCGTCTTGCTTCAGATTAGTACAACTTGAATTAATACTACTTAGATTATGTACAGTTGCACGGATTAAGTGCGATGATGACTTTATTTCTATAGTAGAGACGCTAGGTCTAGCCATTTGTGTTGTTTTTCACTTGATGAGGTTTATTTTCTATAATATTCATTAATCTAACTGCAATTTGGACAAAACATTTTGCCCTAGGGCTGGAATAGCAGCGTAAACCACAACGAAATAACATTCCTTACGTAAATCTGTGATTCCATTTCCGTAGGCTATTCATTAGTAATACAGGCTGCCTCATTGTCTACACGTCTCGTCTACTTTTTTTTCCGCTGTATTCCATTTTATTCTTTCCTAGATCTTTACTCTTTCTTAAACTTCCTTCCTCCCTTCCTTTCTTCTCTTCATCTTTCTTTTTTCACTTTGTGTGAAAGACAAATCTGAGTAGAAATAGTGGGAACTAGCGGTAAACTAGTGTGAGCTGCGTCGGTGTTTCTAAAGAAACAGTTATGTAAAAAGATAATTTAACACCGTAAAAAATAGGTAAAACAACTTACTAAATGTACCCAGTATGTTATATCACCTATTTTTTACAGTGCTAAATTTGTCTTTTTTACACAACTTAAGTAGATTTTGTTGTAAAGTACTCAATGTACAGTTTGTGAGGAAACACGTGATCCGGGGCCACGTGGAAGATCACTTTGCGTGAAGAAACGCGGACGTTAAATGTCCTTACTAGTTTGATAATCAGCTCAAGATGTGGCGATTTTCTAAGACGCTTTCAGTAAGATGCACCCATACCTGTCATTGAGGCTACGCCCTGTACTGTAGGTACCTTCCTTGCGGCGAGTCGTATAAATAGAGTAGAATAACACAAAACATATCGGGTTGTTCCGGTTGTTCCGGGAGGACGAATTAACAGTCATTAACGCTAACAAACTATCGAGTTATTTTTGAGATTTAAAGGATGTACTTTTAGAAGGTTGAAGCGGAGTAGGAAAAAAAATTGACTTTGAAATGATAAAAAATAAGGCAAGCAAAATATAGCATTAAAAACATGCAAGTTAAAAAAACAATTATATTTGTGACGCAAAAGAAAGAAAGAATACGCGGCATAAAATTGGTTGATCCCGCTAATCCAAGATAAATATTTATCGTACTTTGAACTATCTGAACCTTAAGCCTTAAGTATACCATACAGAACCTGCCAGATAAGTGCACAATGTTTGGAAAGCCTAGGAGAAGATCTCTGCAGCCTTCTGTAACATCTTTTTTTTTTTTTTTTAATTCTTTCCTTTTTTTGGAGGGAGTGCAGGCTATATGTCTAGTACCTTCCACGACTTCGGGTACTTGTCCATTTTTGAGAATACATTTATAAATAGTTCCACACACATGGCTCAATTCCTAATAATGTAGATCATTATATATCACCCTGTTTCTTATCAGTGAAAACATCATGTTTATGCTTAGTTATCTACCAGAGGCACGACTATTTAACTGCAAAATACCAATCGACTGGAAGGTCGTGTTTATTGAGARGAGCTATTCACATGACCTTTTCCGACGCACATAAGATAACCCTATGGTCTGTTAGAGTGGATGTGTCCCTCTGTGGGAATTTACTATAGACATTTTAWGATATAATAGATCAAAATATATCGATATGGTTAGTTAAAAGCACAGAAAACAATCATTAGATATATCAACTTGAATAWAGTGTGCATTAAGGTGGAAAYGTCGTCTTTCTGTGAACACGCCCTGAAGCTGTGAATCTAAATGCTTCAACAGGGTTAAACCCCGGCTAAATATACATTGATGTATCGATAAGAGCACTAAMTAAAGTCATGATCATTGTAATAACCGCGCTTTGTAGTCGGTTTTGACTGCGGGCATAGGAAAACTGGAGAAAAAAATCCAGCGAGTGCGGTGTTGTTCTTTTCACTCTTACTAAAACATACACCTCGTGTGGGGTCCGAAGGAGTTTGTAAGTGTTCTGTAATRATCTCTTAATATTCTTATATAGCATTAGTGATTGATAATTGTATATCTAAATCTAATCGTTGAATCTTTGCTTATTATTATTGTTATCTATTATCTCTAAAGCAGGCATTTTATTTGGAGCTTAAGCTGTAGTCGTAAATCAAATTATACCTTCTTTGAGAGTCTAAGAGTTAGTTGAAATTGTATTACTTAAGCTCAAAACGTCGACTTGATACCTTAATCTAATAAACAACTTATCCGAGAAGGGTTTCTTAGTGGAAGATCTTATTATCTWGTTCTCGGGGCATTTGTTGCATTCATTTATTTGTTATTARGAACATATTCCTTCGGCGTTCAAATGGCTTCCTTGCTTTCAAATAGCTTCCTTGCTTCCAAATTTAGTTGTTTTAGAGCTATCGCAATCAAGAGCCTTTCTATATACTGAACAGACTTATATTAGAATGCGTTTCTTGTGTCCAAWTTACATCTTATATTCAATGGCATTTTGTCATCTGAATGTTCTTTGAGCAATCATGATCAAGAGCTTTTCTAAGCATTAAACAGRTTTCTTTGCATTTGAATGAATATTTTTGCTTCCGAATTGCTCCTTTTGTGACATTCAAATGCTCATACTCAAGAGCTTCTTGTATCAAACCTATTTCTTTGCAATTGAAAGGTTTCTTACATTAAAATGGCTTCCTATTTTCATTCGAAAGCCAGTTTTTCTGGCATTCAAATGGCTTTTTGTATGCACAGACGGCGTAGCCATTCTTGCGTTGTCTTTGTTAATTCATTGTTTATTCCACAGAATATGAAGTTAATCATTTTAATTGCTGTTGTTCTATTGGCAATTGGCTGTCGTGCATTGGGTGAGTGATGTTTAATCACGTTTTCTAGATGTAGATGTGTCAGGACAGATTGGGTTTAAAGCTCTAGCAAGTCGATTATTACCTCAACAGATTATCCTTGCTGAAGGCGATTATGTTTGTTATCATATTGATTTCTTGCGTCCTTTTAAGCAAGATTTTCTCTCTAAATTTAGAGGTCACTCGAAGATATTCCGGCCATTCATGGAGGGCAGTGGGAGGCAGAAACCTTCAGCATTTTGTTATAAATTTTGCATATTTCCTTTATTCCCCTCATCTTTACACTTTTGTTCTCGTTTGTGTATATAATGTTTTCATTATTTTACTTGCATTCTTAACGCACCTATCAACTAAATGCCTTTAAAGGGGCCTTTCCCTTATGACGTCATGCGCCGTTTTCAGCGAAATGCACTATGGGATTGATGAAAGTACAAGTTTTAAGACCGATTTACAAGATGCAATTTGTCGCGCGCGACTTGACCTACAAACCAAAATCATAACGGCTCTAACAGTAGATGCGTACGAACTGCGACGTGATCTTTTGAACTCTGTTGTAGGGTACACGTTAAGTTGCGCGCGACAAATTGAATCGTGTAAATCGGTCTTTAAATGTTCTTCTAAATCAACCTTGACAAGAGAAAGAGTTAATTTCGTCCTCTGTCGTTATGATGAACATCCGCCATCTCGATACTTGATAGCAGTACCTTGATGCACCTCGCAAAATCAACACAAAACAACAGAAGACGATTACTGGCTCGCAATTTTGAAAACAAAAATGACGCTAAAGGTCTGTTTACCCTTGCGATTTTAGCAGAGCGATTCTAGCGACAATCGTCGCGCGATCTTCGCCTGAGTTTCGAACACCGTCTTGAAAATATTATCGTCGCAATAATCGCAACAAAGTGGCTTTTATCGCGCTGCAAAAATTGCAAGTGTAAACGGGCTTTTACGGACACTTATGTAAACCTCGCTCTTTCTTATTAGCAGTGAACTTCCGCAATTGCGGATACTGACTTAATTACGGTCACGAAGGTGTCCTTTATAACTAGAATTGACTGTATTTTTAACGTATTTTCCCTTCAGAAATAGACCTGTTGGAACCTATTGATAAAGATCCAGCCAAGTACGGTCTACGACCTTACAATACCGATAAAGGAATTGCGTTCCCCATGACGCTGGCCAAAAAACTCGTTGCTCCATTAACAATGCTTGAAAGCGCCATTATAAACATCGAATCATCTAAAGAATTTGTCATATATTGTGATGTTATGTTATCTTCTTCATCGACTGGGGCATTATTTTCCATTACGCATACCCCACCGACTGGTCGGAAGACGTTTCTTATCGATATAACAATCCGTGGACCTCGAGAGAAGTCATCGAAAAAACCGAAGCTAGCTTTGAAATATCGACTTCTTAATGGATCGACTGACACAATCATATTTAGGGAAGGAATTGAAAAGCTGTACGACAGGGCTTATCACTCGCTAGCTCTTCATATCTATGACTCTGGATTGAAGTTCTCTCTTGTTGACCTGCATATTGATTGTGTAATGACGGAGCGCAAACAAACGCACTCGCCTATATCGCTCGTGTTCTCGTACGGTGGAATCCGGCTTAAAGCAATGCAGTTTAGAATAGGACAAAGAGGATCGAGAGATAGAACATCTCTTAAATTTAAGGTTGGTTTATCTTATTTAATTTTTTTCTTTTTTTTTCTTTTCAGTTTTTCCTTTTTTTTTTTTTTTTTTTTTTCTACGTCTTGCTCATATTGGAGACGGAAAAGAATGCTTACAACTGTACGAATACAAGAGAAAATGAGGTAAGCTTA